TTTAAATTAAAACTCGTACCTTGTGATCGTAGCTTGTAACCTTTTCTAAAAGTTCTAGTAGTTTGTAGTTTTTAAACGGGCTTGGTAAGTTTATAAAAACCAAATAACAAGCGAATACTATATATAAAAATGAAACAAAAAGCCAACTTAAAGGGCCGCATTCTTTTCGAATTTATTACTTATCTCATTTTAAATATAAAAATACGAAAGTACGTGTATCATTAGACCATAGTACTTTATGTCTCGTGAACGTGGTTTCTTTTTAAGAAACCCCTGAAAACGGCATTCGAAAAAGGCCTACCGTTGCAATTTACTATGAAAAATGAGCCCATCATATGCATGTCGATCACTCAAATTTCATAGTAAAAAATTTACCCCTGTGATCTGCGTGACATGTCGTATGACTGGTATAGTTCTACGTACGTACGTACGTACATGTAAATAGTATACTTAGGTGTGCTATTACGTAGCATTATCTTGATGAAGTTTGAGCATTATGACCAAATTCATTACCGCATTAGGATCTGGCATTTAGATACTCGAAGCTTGGTAACATTCGATTGCGAAGGAGGGTGCCTACATATTCTTACCAAGTAAACCACTTATTCGCAAATTCTTTACATTTTTGATAACATTTAAAGAACTACTAATACGTTTTATAGTTCAATCATCAACGAAAAATGAATTTATTCACTTTTTATTTAGATTTTTTTTTTTCAAAAAAAAATATTTATTCTTAACAAATTCGGATAGTTTTTTTGTATGATATTTAAAACCTGTTAATGACTTTTTAATTTTTAATAGCCAATGAGAGACATTGTTTTCACTAATGTTTAAATGTCTTTGAGAGTATTGCCACGGGGTGAATGAACGAATACAGGGGAAAAATATAGTAAGGCAACTCGCCAGAGGCGTGACTATGGTGATTTGGGATGTTTCTTCCAGTGTTGTCAGCAATAGATGAATAGAACAATAGAGCAATAGAATAGAGCAATAGAATTTAGAATATAATAAAATTTTTATCAATAGAACAAAAAATTGACAACTAGATTACAATTAATATTAATATAGCAAAAAAACAAATAGAACAATTAAACAATAGAATAGAACAATAGAATTTAGAATAGAACTTAATTTCTATCAATAGAACAAAAAATTGACAACACTGGTTTCTTCAATACGTTACATAGAGATCCTTATGTGCGAAGAGCCTTAAGAGTCGTAACAGACCAAGACAACTTATAATGTTATGCCTTTAAATAACTTCTTAAAAGTATGACTAGGAAAACAGGTACTGTTAATGTCCGAAGCTACATTTCAGCATTTATGCAGTATTGATTATCGGTAAATTTCGGTAAATGTAGTTTTGTCGGGCTGATCCGTGTCGGTTTATATAGTTTTGATTGGCAAGTTATTTGACGACATGACAAGAATCCAAATTGCTCTATAGAGTCCTCGCTACGTTTCGGACAATTAAAAGAGGTTATGGCAGTTTTCTTAATGCTTTCGTCTGAGGCTTCGCCCAGAATTTCAACACACTGCCACACGTAGCTTCATTGTGAGTGTTTTAGCTTCTCACCTGTTTACTCGGCCGATATTATCAATTCGGCCGACAAGCCTCATATGTCATAACCGAAGATTCAAAGCCTCGACATTTGCGGCGTCTTAATTCTTTATTAGTGGGATTTATGGCGCAGTTTCATTTTATTATAGGAAATGTCAATTTTAGCCCGTAACAGTATTCCAAGAAATTTTAATTTAATTATTGTGGCAGCTGAGGCCAAAATTTGTCAATATTGAAATTTGACAAATTTATTACGAAATTTTAAAAATTTTTGGAGCCTTTTTGAAGTCTTTTTTAGAGTTAATTTAGGTTTAGGATCAGAGTTGTTAATAAAAGAGGTACACGTGGATCTTAATAGGTAGCATAGATTTTAATGGTGACTAAAATTTTAGCGTCTCCGATTTCAATATAAACACCCACGATTACTAAAATTGATACGTTACAAAAGTCTTAACAATTACTTCAATAGCAAATTTTCAAAATTTTGACAGTTGGCATTATTATGATTAACAAGATTATTAGTGAAATTTTGATAATTTTACTTATACGCTAGATTAAAGGACTTTAAAATCGAAACAACTTTTTGCATCAGATTATGTAGCTTTAAAGCTGACAATATGACCAACATTTCTAATAAAGCTCAAAACTTTTAACTCAGAAATTGAATTGAATTGCTATGGATTAAAAGGACTAAAAAAAACTAATAGCAGTGTTTATAAGGTTACATTATACCAATCTAAAATTAAATACAAATACTGCATATGTTGAATATTATTCTCTGCATAATGCTTGCATAATACCATGAATTACCAATTATTGTAGATCACTTCGTACAAGTTATACGATATGAACCTTGGAAGCGAATCCATTAGAAACGACACTTATGGAAACATTGTATGCTATACAATCTCCCATTATAACACCAAGAAAAAAGAGTTTTAATCCTATATATAAGACAAAGTTTTACCGTTTTTTTAAATCTAATTAGACATGATGGATGGTTTTAATCAACTACGCAAATTACAGTTATATGTAAATTATTATTTGGCTACGGACCGTTCTGTGAAAATATATAAAATGAATTCACAGCTTTTAACAAAAGAATCTCGAAAATCTTTTCATGATTTTATATACGCATCAGTTCCCATAAAATATGGATTACTAAGTAACAAAGTAAAATTACATGTGCTACCTCATTATAAAAATCCCAATTATTTTACACATCAAATATCATATAGTACAAAAACGGACGCTTACTATGAGAATGATCTTAATGAGATGTCATTTTTAATTAAAGATTCGGGATTTTTAAAATACTGGCGTTCTGGAATGTTAGATTACGAAATGGTTGGAAAGAAATGGGAAGAAAAAGAGAATAGGTAAAAAGAAAAAAAATTGGGGTTGATATTTCTATTACGTAAAATCAAAATTTTAAAATTTTTACATGAATTCTCTTAATAGATTGTATTTAGCAAAGGATCCTCGAAAAATTGAACCAAGTCAATTAGAACTTCCAGCATCAGCCATTTGGAAATTCGATTATAGACCAGCAGAATTAGTTATTTCTACTCTCAACATAAAACTTCAGAATAGAACCTATAATATTACACAAAGAAAACAAATGACAATAGAATGGTCGATCTCACCTTTACCTACTAGAAAAAACCCAAATCCTATTTGGAGCCTAATTGACATTGAATCATCATCGCAATCATATACAGAGGATGATTGGAGCACAAGCATAAACATTACGAAGTATGTGAAAGGAGAATATGGATTTTTGTTACAAGCTTACATGAGTGGTCCGATGGTAAAACTTTGGAGGAATAAGGAAATGTTTAATCATTCATGTGGTGATAACGGGCCAAGTTTTGGAATGAATTTGAATATTGTTTTGAAAAGAGAAAAAGACGTAAAATATGGTATATTACCAAAGATAGATACCAATGAAGAAAAGATGATGTTGAATGACAAAAGCTCAAGTGATTTTATCATTACTATTGATAACTCTGATAAGAACATGGACATTGGTTTGCAAGAAAGTTCAGATACATTCTATGTTCATTCCAAAGTTTTATCACCTAGATCTGATTATTTCTACGCGTTATTTAACTCAAAAATGATGGAATCAAATGACAAGTCACTTTTGCTCAAAGATATATCTCAAAATATTTTTAAAACAATTCTTGAATATTTATATACAGGAAATATTAATAATGTTACGACAATGGAAGAGTGGATCAACTTACTTTACGCATCCTCTAGGTTTTTAATTCCTTCATTAACCCAATTATGTGAAAGAAATCTTGTGGGGTTTGTCAATGAACACAATGTGGAGGAGTTTACAAATATTGCAATGGTGTGTGGTGCTCAACGACTGCTAAAACATTGTGAACTTTTGGAAGTCAAAACTGATAATGGATTTGGTAAATATGATAATGATGTGGACAAAAAGAAAAATGAAGTGAAGAAACTTGGGTCACGACCATTACTTGCAAAAATGAGATCAATGAGATCACTCGTTACATGATTTAAGGACGTTTTTATTTTTGTTAAGAGACAAAGACTTTACAAAATACTGGTTAAGCGATAAGACGTAACCATTCAAGCTTAATTGTGTATTAGAACGCGAATTATGTAAAAAAAAATAAAAATAAAAATCAAAATAATAAAATAAAATAAACATTTTTTACGATCGTAATTCTTCACCGAAGTGTACATATTTTATCATGATATATAGGAACGCCACAGAATACGTTTGGACTATAAAAATCTTTATATTCAGCTGCAATTTCTCTAAATAATGAAATTGTTATATCCTTAATCGTTATCCGTTACATAAAAACCATTGACACTTGGCCATTAGATCTGAAAACAGTTATTACCAGACAAATTAAAAATACTTGAAATTACTGTGAATACTTAAATATAACTAGTTATTATATTTAAGTATTCACAATGTTAAAAATTAATTAATTCAAATACTTTGAAAACAGAAATGATTTATAAAATGGTGCTATAAAAATATTGTATTCCAAGAGATTTTTCTACCCAAGTATTATTAAATTACCCGGTATTCCGGGTAATTTATTATGGCCATATAATTAAAATGTCTACCCGGGTACAATCTCTAATTATATATAAAATATCTGTTCACTAAATTATTTAAAATTTTTGAATCCTAAACAGTATTATTGTATTATCACATTTGTCTTTACTAAAAAATAAGAATTTTTGAAACAGTAATCAATCAAATGGTAAATATATCCTTTATAAGGGCATTATAATTTATCGCTATAGCGATGTATCGCTACCCCGGGGTCTAAGTCAACCAAAATCCCAAAACTTCAATATTCAAACTCTATATTACTAATCATAAGTGGAGATTGAATATTGAAACCCCGACATCACGCGACGCGACAACTATATCAGGATGTAGCGATACATCGCTTATGGCGATAAAAGATAAAATCCTTTTTTTAATGATCACTAAAACTTAAATATCCCAAAATTTTACTACTCTGTGGTATCGGAGTTCCAACATTCGAACTCCACTTTTAACCATATTCTCTAAATGTGGATCTAAAAGAAATGGTTGCTCTTTTAATCACTCAAAATTTTTGTTTCCGAGTGTACGATAAATCTACAGTGTGTCTTTGCTATTCTCGTCTATACACTTATCAAAGACCTGGAAAATTATAGAATTTATTTATATGAATTTCAAATCCTATAAATAATACAAATTTTTTTTACAGATCCCTGGCACTTATAAATGAAATTCTTTTAATGCATCATTACGTAACATTAACCTGAGATATAAAATGCGCCATTATTTCTTTTTTTAATAAATACTGTGACATCTCACATAAAGATGGTCTAGACACATTTGCAATAAGAAATAGTTAAAAAAACAATAATGAATAACTCCTTAGATTAATGCCAAAATTTTTAAACTTATTGATGCATAATCAGAAAATTTTTACTATCTTTAAATAATTTACTAAGGACGGTTATGTCACGGGAATAAATTAGAACTTGACCCTATTTAAATAGGGCGGTAAGCGTTGAACCTATCACAGATTGAAATAGTATATCAGGAAAAACATTGTAGAAATCTCATGTTCTGTTTTTTTGTTTACTTTTGCAATAACATAGACATACGTATTGGAAGTTGATAGAGTTATCAGAACTGTTATATGTCTGGTTTTAATATTGTTTCCGTTGATGTCACGATGGGAGCCAAAAATCCACAAAAATCAGAAGTTGATATTTCTCTGATATATACCTGAATGACCTAAAGCGATAAGCCGAGGAGCGCAAGCAGTTAAGGCTTGCAGAGTGGGTTAAAGTGTAATATAATAGGTATCTTTCTGGTAACGAAGATATTGCGCATGATCTTTATTATGTTATTAAAGGATAAAAATTTTCAGAATAGATAGAAAGATCATGTATTAGAACCTGTTTTTATTGGCTAGCAATCTAGTTTTTTTATATCACACGATAATTTATGATTATATATATTTATTTATTTATTTAGGGGTTAAGGTTAAGAGTCTATACCACGGTATATACAAAAGATGCAATCCACGAAACGATTTACAGGAGTAACCATAAAGTTATACCCTTAGGTAGGAAAATTCTCACAGCTCTACGGTTGCGAATTTGTGTGATTCTATTTGGAAACTTTATAGTCAATTAATAATACATCTTATTCAAGGGGTTATCTATACTGCAAGAAATGATTTTGCTAAAGTCGACATGATACTGTCCATAAGCATAGATCGTTGGAGTGGCTTAGCCATTTGATATGACAGAATTAATTTATTCATTGTCGGTTAAATACAGT